GTAGCCGGACAAATAAATATTTGTCATTGCCCGGAAAAAAAACACACACACAAACTGTGAATGTATCTAGAAATTTGAACAGTGACGGGCATGGAGCGTGATCTCGCATGTATTTGATGGTCTTGAATAAAATTTTTACGCAGTTTTGCCAACTTTACACGACAAATAGTAAAACAATTTTTAAAAAATGTAAACAAAGGGTAAGGATTGGGTAAGGGCGCAAACCCTTGTTTTTGCCAAATTTTCTGAGGATTCAAATTGAATTGGTCCTGTTATGACAATCTGTCTCGAAGCCACACATGATGGGGAAAAAGCTGCTGTTTTAAACAAATAGGGGGGCGGTAGTATAAATAGCGCCAGACACGCTAAACGACTCATTCTAGTAGAAGCTGGTCAGACAGTTCATCTAAAATGCCGTAAACATTTGTTTCGACCACAGAAGAAGAATGCCACGTCGCGTAGCAGGGCAACGTGTACTTTTGTTAAAAGGAATGCACCTGTTATCAGCCGACCTTCCGTTACTCCTTCTTTCGACTACCAAGAGAATCCAAAATTCGGAAGAACACGCTTATAGTGGTGTGTACATGAAAAAAAGCTACAAGAAAATTTTGGTAGTAGAATTGTGATTACTACAATAAAGAATCTAGTTTTTTGGATAACCTTGAAAGTGTTATCCTATTTGATAGCCAAAGTCAACTGCTTTCGATTTTTTCCTGGGCGGCAACACACCTTTCCAGTTTCGCACACACTCGTGCTTTTCTCCCTACTAGAAGTCACACACGTAACTTTTAATTATAGACAAATTACAAGTTTATGAAAAAACCTACCGTGTCAATAAGTGTGAAGAGAGCATTGCTTTTTCGCTTGTTCTTTTTACGACTTTGAAGGAACGCTCTCATCTGCGCTCTTATCTTGCATTATTTGAACAAGCTTAAGTGGCAAAAGTGATTTTTGCAACCAATCAAAGACAGCACAACCATTCTGTTTGTGGTTCTATGCATGTGTCAGCATTGACTAAGTTGAAATAATACGAGCAGAAATTATTACTCCAAAAGACCTTTATTCTCTGGTAATTACTGGCCATTTTCCCCCGTTCGTTTATTTTTCTGCAGTGAGTACCTATTCAGAAGCAAAGAAAAAATCAATAAAGAGGCAAACGGAATTCCCACCCAAACTGTTAAATGATACCAATGTACTCTACTTGAAGACAGATGATATGACACTAACCTTCTAATACTAACAACATAATAAATCTAAAAAAGACTAAATTTATGGTCTTCGAACCAACACAATAACTTAAAAATTGTAATATTCACATGATAAGTACTTAGATAATCAACATATTGTTCAAGTAAAGAAGACACATTTTCAAGAAGTAAAAAATTTTGGAGGAAAACTGGAAGTCAGAAATATCACATGTTGCAAAATAATGAAGTTGCGAAGTCAATCTGTACAATATTTAAATGCAGCTTCTTTCTTCGTGAAACTTCTCTATGTATGCTCTACTATTAATAATAATAATAATTTATGAACTTATTGTGCGCAGCTTAACATGAGAATGATCAGGTGCGCATTACAACTACATTACTTAAAAGAAACAAATAAAAGATAATGCACTAAAAAAATAAAATAAAATAAAATAAATAAAAAATAAAAAGAATATATATGCATGCAAGTAAGAAGTGAATATAAAATTGCTCACCAATATAAAGTTTTAAAAAGATAAGTCTTAATATGCGCCTTAAAACTGTTCACATTAGTAATCGCACGAAGTTCTTTTTGAAGAGAGTTTCAGAGCCTTGGCGCTGCTACCATAAAAGCTCTATCACCTAACGTCTTCGATCGAGCAGCTGGCATAGAAAGTAAAATACTATCTGAAGATCTAAGGTTATATAAGGAGGATTTAAATGTTAGTAAATCGCATAGATATTTAGGAGCAAGGCCGTGAATTGCTTTGAACGTAATAAGCAGTATCTTAAATTCTATCCGGGCTTTAACAGGAAGCCAATGCAGACCACGAAGAAAGGGTGAGATGTGGCAAAACCTAGGGGCATTACAAACTAGCCTGGCTGAGGCATTCAAAACTCTCTGCAATTTGTTAAGCTGGTAGTTGGGCAGCCCATACAAAAGACTGTTACAATAATCAACACGAGATGTAATAAATGCATGGACAAG